AATTCTTCAAAGAACTCCAAAGAACGGTACTCAACTTCATTTGGAAAAGCAAAGAACCCAAGATAGCCAAAACAATCCTGTACAATAAAAGAACTTCTGGAGGCATCACAATCCCTGACTTGAAACTCTACTACAGAGCTACAGTACTGAAAACAGCCTGGTATTGGCATAAAAACAGACAGGTATTGGCATTAAAAAAAAAATGAATAGAAGACCCAGATATCAATTCACACATCTTCGAACACCTGATCTTTGATAAAGAAGCAAAAAATACCAAATGGAAAAAAGAAAACATATTTAACAAGTGGTACTGGCATAACTGGATATCAACATGCAGAAGAATGAAAATAAACCCATATCTATCACCATGCACAAAACTCAAGTCCAAATGGATCAAAGACCTCAACATAAAGCCAGCCACACTGAACCTTATAGAAGAGAAAGTGGGAAGTACACTTGAATGCATTGGCACAGGGAACCACTTCCTAAATATAACCCCAGCAGCACAGACACTGAGAGAAACAATTAATAAATGGGACCTCCTGAAACTGAAAAGCCTCTTTAAAGCAAAAGACACGGTCAACAAGACAAAACATCAACCTACAGAATGGGAAAAGATCTTCACTAACCCCACATCAAACAGAGGTCTGATCTCCAAAATATACAAAGAACTAAAGAAATTGGACACCAAAAGATCACATAATCCAATAAAAAAAAAATGGAGTACAGACCTAAACAGAGAACTCTCAACAGAGGAATCTAAAATGACTGAAAGACACTTAAGGAAATGTTCAACATCCTTACTCATCAGAGAAATGCAAATCAAAACAACTCTGAGATTCCATCTTACACCTGGAAGAATGGCCAAGATCAAAAACACTGATGACAACTTATGCTGGAGAGGTTGTGGGGAAAAGGGAACACTTCTGCATTGCTGGTGGGAATGCAAGCTGGTACAACCCCTTTGGATGTCAGTGTGGCGATTTCTCAGAAAATTAGGAAACAACCTTCCTCAAGACCCAGTAATACTACTTTTGGGTATGTATCCAAAGGATGCTCAATTGTGCCACAAGGACATGTGCTCAACTATGTTCATAGCAGCTTTGTTTGTCATAGCCAGAACCTGGAAACAACCTAAATGCCCCTCAACCGAAGAATGGATAAGGAAAATGTGGTACATTTACACAATGGAGTACTACACAGCAGAAAAAAATAACGACAGCTTGAATTTTGCAGGAAAATGGATGGAGCTAGAAAACATTATTTTGAGTGAGGTAACCCAGACACAGAAAGACAATTTTCACATGTACTCACTCATAGGTGGTTTTAACATAAAGCAAAGAAAGTCAGCCTACAAACCACAATCCCAGAGAACTTAGACAACAATGCGGACACTAAGAGAGACTTACATAGATATAATCTACATGAGAAGTAGAAAGTATAAAAAGACAAGATCTCCTGAGTAAATTGGGAGCATGGGGACCTCGGAGGAGGGTTGAAGGGGGGCAGGGAGAAGCAGGGAGAGGAACAGAGAAAAATGTAGAGCTCAAGAAATATTAATAAAAAATGTATAATAAAAAAGATACAAGTCCCAGTGGTAGCTCATGCTTGGAATACCAAAACTGGACTGCCACCAGTTCAAGGACAGCCTGGGCCAAGGTTTTTGTTCTTTAAAAAATAATATGTTGGAGGGTGACCGAGGCAGGCTAGTCCAGGCAGAGGCTTCCGCTAGTCTGACAAGGATGGCTGTGGGTCCCTGCAAGATCTCCAGGGTGGCAGACTGGACTGCGGCTGGACGAGTCAGGCAGGCGGGTACGGTGGATAAAAGGCTCACAGGACATAGTAAATAGACGTAAGGCTAAGCATAAGGATAAACATTTTTACTTAAAGAAGAAGGAGAGAAAGAAAGACAGGAATAGAAAAGAGGGCAGAGAGAGGAAAACACGTGTACACACGCCAAGAGATGGGGATAGAAGAGAGAGAGTTAAGATGGCGACCAGGAGGTCAGAAGTGGCTGGGAGTGGGCGTGGCTTGCCCTTAAAGGGATCAGAGCAAAAGAATAACAAAGGTAAGAGACTCACACACACACTTGAATGGGGTATAGTGTCATACACTGTAATCCCAGCACTCAGAAGGCAGAGGCAGGCAGAACTCTTGAATTCTAGGCTAGTCTTCTATCCACAGTTACAGGTCACCAAAGGTACACAGTGAGACTTTGTCTAACAATAACAAGAGGTGAGCAGGACATGGTGAGACTATACCTGTAAGGTGTTCCAACACTTGGGAGGTGAACAGAACGAGTTCAAGGTCTTCCATGGCTATGTGTGGAGTTTGAGGACAGCCTGGACTACATAAGACCCTAGCACAAATTGTGCTGGAACTCAATTTGCAGACCAGCTAGCCTGCCTCTGTCTCCTAAGTGCTGGGATAAAAGCATGCATCACCATGTAGTGATATTTTGCTTTGTCAGGTTTTTTTTGTTTTGTTTTTTGTTTTGTTTTGTTTTGTTTTCTGAGACAGCATTTTTCTGTGTAGCCAGCCCGAGCTGTCCTGGGACTTGCTCTGTAGACCAGGCTGGCCTCAAACTCACAAAAATCTGCCTGCCTGTCTCCACATGCTGGAAACCTCTCCTAACGGCTGACCCTCAGGCTTCCTGCTCCAGCAGCAGAAAACTAGTGTCAGGATTGTTTTAGCACATCAGTTGTTTGGTTTTATTACTGGCCCTTTGGCCCCTGCGGTCCAGGAAAGCCACCAGCCCCTGTTCCAGGGGCTGCCTCGGGTCTCCTAAGCCCTCAGGCCCCATCCACAGGGCCTGACTAGCCTTCCTTCAGGCTCTAGAAACAGCCTTACTGCACTCTCCTGGCAGGTGTTGATCTCCTTAGGGGCCTGGTGCTGCTCAGCTACTAGACACGTCACCCCAGATTCTGTGCAACCAGGGCCCACAAACCCCCACAAGGCTGTCCTAAGGTGCTGGTAAACCCCCTTCTCTCAGCCTAGAAACCCAACAAGTGGTACGAAACTGGAGGGGACACTTCTTTTTTAAAAAGCTATTTTGTTTTTTATTATTATTATTATTATGTATAGTGTCCTGCCCGCATGACAGAAGAGGGCACCAGATCTCGTAGATGGTTTGTGAGCCATCAGATGGTTACTGGTTTGTGGTGGTTGGGAACGGAACTCAGGACCTCTGGAACAACAGCCAGTGCTCTTAACCTCTGCACACCTCTACAGCCCTGAGGGAACACTTCTTCAGAGGCCTTGTGAGAGATGGAGGCTGGCATCTGTGAGAGGGTCTGCCAAGGTGGATGAGGCTGCAGGGGGGAAGAGGAGGCACAGCTCAGGGGACACTGCTCTGCCTCAGTCTTTGCAATGCTCTGCACCCATTCGCGCCCTGAACAGATGGCTCCTTCATTATCTTAAAGATCTGAGAAGAGACAAGTCTGCACTGTGCTTGTCAGGGTCACTGTGACTCAAGTGTCACAGAGGACAGAGGAGAACTGGCTGGTGACTTATGGGGTGGTGAGGAGGGTGAGAGACTCTCAGGAGCAAGAATGGGTGCACTGGCCACTCAGGTAGCTGAGGAATGGGTTCCCTTAGTAGGTGAGCCCAAAGTCAAAGTCATCACCTAGCCCCTTACCCGGAGAGCTCATGGCATCACCCAGCCCTGTGCCCTCACCTTACACCCCTGCATCCCATCAGAAATCTTTCGACACCTGTCTTCTGTCTCCCAGCTCCACAGTCTCAGATTTGACTTTGACCTGTGCTCAGGACAAGTCCTCTGGTGATGGCTGAAAGGCAAGTTGCTTACCTCTCTCAAAGCCCTGAACTCCTGATGGCCTCAGCCAAGCAGCCCCATACCCAAACTGCCCGATCCTGCTATAACCTAGGCCAATACTACCTTTCCAGACTAACCTCTGTATTAACTTCTCTGCCATTCCCATCTCGAGGTTCCTTTCAGCAACAGGGCCTCTTCCACGCCACCTGGCCTCAGTGTCTAGCTGCTGCAGAGCTGCTTTGGTCCCGAGTGCTGTATAGTGTTGTGGAATATTTATTTAACCAGGCAAAGATGTGTTACACTTGCTTATGCTGTGTTTGTTTAGCTATGAAAAGATGTGTTGACCTTGCGTTAAATAAAATTAACCTGGGTTCAGAGAGGTGGGATTAGCAACTAGTTGACAGGAAGTACCAGAAGAGAGAAGGAGGGAAGAAAAGGGGGAGATGCCTGGGGCCAGTCAGCCGGACACGGACTAGGACCTACAGAATGAAAGAAAGGTAAAAAGCCCTAAAGCAAAACAAAGATGAAAACCAGGCTAATTTAAGTTATAAGAGTTAGTGGAACAAGCATAAGCTAAGGCCAAGCATTCATAACTAATATTAAGTCTCCGTGTCTTTATTTGGGAGCTGGCTGTGGTCCACGAGAAAGCCTGCTACAGTACAGGACTGGTATACCTCACTACAGCTACACAGACTTGTCAGATGCTTTGTAAGCAGATACCTCCTAAACACAGCGAGGGCTTCCAGCCATCCCCTGCTCCCCTGAACACGGATTCCAAAGACCAGGAGTAGGGTCTGCCTCTCCTGAGGCCCCAAGCCCTACTAGTGTCCCTGACTTCTGGTGCCTCATCCCTGCTCACCCCTGGCCACACCTCTCCCTCAGGTAGTTTCCTGTACTGCCTGGGCCTGGTACTGTGTGCTCTGATGACACCTGGTCAGTGATGCTCCTGAAGGAGCTGAGGTATGAAAATGGGAGACCTGAAGCCCAGCTTCCTGACCAGTGTTTTAAGAGTAAATGGAACCAGACAGCTCCTAGACCAAGCACCAGCTGCCTCAGGATGCACCAAGCAGAGCCAATTCTGGCTTCCCCTCAGCCTCCAGGTTGTTAGAGGATGCTTCCGAAAACCTGCCCTGGCTGTCCTCCCACAAACCACTGCCATTGACCTCGGCTCCAACTGGAGCTACACCAAGAGCAAGGGCAAAGCAGACAATTCCATGCCAAAGGCAAAGACGAAAATCAGACTGTTTATTGCAGAAATATGGTCAAGGTTCCATTTACGGGGCCCCAGGTGAGGAGATGCTGGACCTCTTGGCCCAAAGCTGGGCAGGGAAGATGGGAGCAACAGAGGACCATCTGGCCGGGGTCTCAGAGCTGCGAGAGGATGCTGGAGGCCAGGCTGCAGGTGAGGCCTGTGCCATCCGGCTCCACATTCAGCGCCTTCACTATGCCATTGTCTACCACCATGGAGAACCTGCGGAAAAGGGGCGCAGCTGCAGAGGCAGAGCCAGCCTCAGGACCCCTCGTGCCAATGGCGAGGATTTCCACTTTACCTCTTCAGCCGGTGGTTCCCAAAGAGCGACACCAAAGAATCACCCAGTAATAAATCTGTCTCCTAGAAGACAGGCAGAGATGGGTGTCAAGAGCCCCCAAACAGGTCAGAAACTGCTCCCCACATAACACGTCCCTCCAGGACCAACTGCAGGCTGAGGGAAGGGTGGCACACTCACCTTCCCAAAGGCCCCAGTTGGGTCAGCCAAGAGCCGAACCTGAGGAACAGAGAGTAAATGTCACGAAGAAACCTCCAGCTCTAGTGACGGCTCAGAGAGGAAAGGTGCTTGCTGCCAAGCCTGACAACCTGAGTTCAATCCCCAGGACCCCACATGGCAGGAGGGGAGAACCAAATCTCACAAGAACCTCCACTTGAACACCATGGCATGAGTACCCATCCAACACATAAAGTAAAGCAAATGTAATGGAAAACAAGGAATCCTCCCACCTGGGTCTGACCCCTCAGACAGAACCTCAGACCTCACCTTGCCTTTCGCCTGGTGGGCTCGACCCCACTCCTCTGTCACAAAGACGTCATTAACAGTCAGACATGCCAACACCTGCACACCCTTGGCCTTCAGAGCCTCAGCTTGCTCCACAAACCCAGGCAGATGGGTCTAAGGGGAAACGAAAGGGTCAAAAGGCAGACAGCTTGCTGGCGTTCCTGAGCCTGCTTTTTAGCTCCTAGTCTCTGGTATCTCTCTGATCAGGCTAAGGAACCCGGAGTAAAATGTGCCTTTTCCTTTTTGCCTTGGCTACTAGGAAGCTTGAACCTAAGGATCTGTGGTCAAAAATATAAAATTCCCATGGGCAAAACTTCTGCCTCATTAGCACAATCTTTCAGTGCTCCCACGAGCAGGATCAGGCAGAGGTGTTAGATTTAACTCGGGTCCTTTTCTCCCACACTCCTGATTCTGGAAAGAAGCCTCACCTTAGAACAGCCAGGGGTGAACGCCCCAGGAACTCCGAACAGCACACCTTTCTTGCCCTTGAACAGCTCTGCCAGGTTCACCTTCTTCCCAGGCTCCCCTTCAAATACCTCCACGGAGGGGATGGCATCTCCCACCTGCAGACAAGGGCTCCAGGGTAAAAGGGGGTTAAAAAAAAAAAAAAAGTCTAGCAAACCACATCCAGGCAGACACAGATCTTCATGGAGCCGGTTCTGACACCTAGCAGAGAAAGTGCACCTGCCAGTTTCCAGGTGTCTGCCCCGTCCTCTGCATCTTCCGGTTGCCCCACATCTTCCAAGCTTTAAGGAAGCCTGGTTTTTGTTTCAAGCCAGCTGGTGGCCACAGAGAAAGGGAGAGGCCTCCATTAGTGTTGCAATGCTGTGTAAACAAGCTACACAAGATGGATCAACGCACAAAGAGGAGCACCCAGTCTGGGGTTGAGAAAGCACCTGGCAACAGGGAGGAAGAAAATCCTGTCCACACAATGGAAAGTCAGAGAAGACGCTCAAGGCAAAGTGTTCAGGATACAGGCTCTCAGGGTAGGCGAGAGGGGTCACCTACCTGCAGGCCTCCATTGACACAGGAGTGAGGCTGAGGTCAGCAAGTCAAGCGCTTGCCACCAAGCCTAACCACCAGAGTTTAGCCCCATAACCACATGGGAGAAAGACAGAAGTGACTCCTGAGAAACCTGTCCTCTCACCTCCACATGCACACATGTGTGTTCCCAAATATACACACTAAACATATATTAAAGAGTGCTTTTAAAAAGTAAAGGGCCTTTAGTCCCAACACTGCGTGCAGAGGCACGCAGATCTTTAAGAGTCTGAGGTCAGTCAGGTATACACACCAAGTTCCAGGCCAGCCAGGACTACACAGTGAGACTGCTTTTTGGTTGTTTTTGTTTCTTTCCTTTAAAAAAAGTGGTGGGGGGAATAAAGTCCAAGAACAGAAGGGGGTAGGTTCAAGAAGCTTCCAGAATTCCAGAAAGACCAAACAGAAGAAGGCAAAGCATTCACAGAGGGGAGACAGCAATGGGAAAAACAGACCCCAGGTATCCAAGGGACCCCAGCTCTTTCAAAACATGCGGTGAAGTGTCATCTAGTACTATCACAAAAGGGCTGGGGCTTTGGAAAGGGTTAGAAGGGATTTGAAAAGCGGCAAAGGAGATATTTTAAGAATGGAAAATGACACAGCATCCAGTTGCTTGAAAATAGTGGGGACCTGTCCCTGAACGTCACACCGTTAATTTAACAGGGAGGCTCAAGGAAATGTCCCGGGACTGAAGGGCAGCGATGGGATCTTGCAGGATGCATGACAGGAAGAAAGCTTCAAGGAGGACAGCCCGAGAACCCCCGTGGTGCCCAAAGAGCCGCGACAGGTTGAACCCAGGAGAGCAAGGACCGGTCACCTTGATCGGGGCCATAGCCACCGCGGCGTTGCTGAAGCTGCGGGCCCCGCTACGTTTCCACCCTGCTGCTCCCCGGCTTGCTCTGCCGGCCTCGCACGTCCAGTTAGCCGCAGCACCGAGCACTGAACCGGCTCTGCCGCCCAGGGTGTATATCCCTGAATGCAACATGCCCGCCCCGTTGTCGCAGCCCCCCGCCCGTCTCTAGGTCTGCCCACCGGAGGCGGGTGCCGAGTCCGCTCCGCCCACGCCAGCTCGTCACTTCTATCACGCGGGATTATAGGGGCTGAGCCGAGACGCATTATGACGCGCCGGGGCATGCAGGGGTCGCGCTCCTTTTTTGCATGCAGAAAGAGGTGACCAGTTTACCGGTGCAAATTCTGACCTTGAACCGCAAAAAGGGGTCGGGGTAATCCGGCTAAGTCTCAAATGTGCTTGTTTTATACTCAACGAGAGCCGCGCACGGCACCTGCTTTGTAAGTGATTTGCATTGTACGTGCCATTTACAGCGAGCAGGTCTCGGCTCCGCTGAAATCTCCCTGAAAAACGCTTCCTGTATCAGAACTTGATCCAACTCAAGTCTCTCCTATCCCTTTGCAGCTGCAAAACCCCAGAAATTCCAGCAAGTTCACCACTTCCGGTCCGGCGGGTTGTTCAACGGCTTCAACAGCGGAAGTGGCATAAGGAGAAGTGTGGACTCCTTCCGGTTCCGGCCTTGCGAGCTCCAGTGTGGCAACATGAAACTGCTCACCCACAATCTCCTGAGCTCGCATGTGCGGGGCGTGGGCACGCGTGGCTTCCCGCTGCGGCTGCAGGTACTTGCATTAGAGTCTGTTGCCCTTGTAGCTCAGGATAGAGACGCCGAGCCCGACTCTACCTCGCTAAACCTTTCCTCCCCGCAGGCCACCGAGGTCCGCATCAACCCCGTGGAGTTCAATCCGGACTTCGTAGCGCGGATGATCCCTAAAGTGGAGTGGGCGGCGCTTGTGCAGGCGGCAAACACCGTGAGGATCCCGCCCCAATGACAACCCGGGAGCGGGTCGGGCTCTCTGGGGGGCCTGACCCCAGCCAGGGCAGAGTGGAGTTTGTATGCCCGGTGATCACGTGAGCCTCTCTTCCACAGTTAAACCTGACCGAAGTACCCAAAGAGCCGACTGAAGGTTATGAACAAGACGAGACGTTTTTGCGGAAGATGCATCACGTGTTGCTTGAGGTGAGAGCCTTGTCACCTGCCTAGGTGCCCTACACGGAAGCTCCGGGTACTCAGCTTTGCCCTGCTCTCCCACAGGTTGATGTGCTAGAGGGCACCCTGCAATGCCCAGAATCTGGCCATCTTTTCCCCATCAGCCGCGGAATCCCCAATATGCTGCTGAACGACGACGAGACTGAGACATAACTTGCTAGCTACCACTCTGGGCATTTTGTGACGCGTTGTATAGTCTGTTAAATAGGTGTGTGACCCCGATCAACCCGCAGTGACTCACCAACCACCATGTACTTGAGCTCCATAGTATATTTTTTTTTCTCATTAAAGGTTCAAAACCAAAAGCGGTTTCTCTTTGCAGCAAATATACATTAAAATAGAGTCTCTGTACAGCCAAGGGCTCTGGGCCCTGGCTTGCCCCATGGCCCTGCGCCTCCCTGGCCAAACCCAAAAATAAATATAGTGTTATTGCTCTGCAGGGCATAGAGGCAGTGCTGTCCCCCACCCCTCAAGGTGGGAGCTGATGGGGGGGGGCCTGGTCACCCCAGGGATCCAGGGGCTGGAGCCTGCTTGGAGTTATTGCTTCAAGGGGGGGGGGGCACTAATGCCCAATGCGAATGAGGAGAGGAGCAAAGGGGACAGGGGCCTTTGCTTTCCAAGCCCCCCTCTGCTCTGGAGAGGGGTTCAGATTAAGCAGCAGCAAAAGCATCGCCCACTGGGAGACTGTGGCCTCCATCCCCTTCCCTCCCTGAGATCAGTTTCTGCCTCCCACACATCCCCTGCAGCCCCCTATGGCTTCCGCAAGGCCCCCTATACTCATGGGGGCACATTATGGCTTGCAAGGGGCAGCACTGTGCCCACACCTGGGCATTCACTTTCCTGGCTTCTGACACCCCCTAGAAGGGGGAGGGGAGGGCATGAAGCCTGCTCCCAGGGGCGGATGGCATTGCCCTGGCCCTGCCAGCAGGCTGTGGCACTGCCCAGACTCCAGCTTTGCCCCCTTGGGGCTAACACCCCATGCTGGGCAGATCCTGCCAGTCACCCCACCCTGTCCCACCCCTTGCCTCAGTCCATCATGGCCTCAAGCATTTCCAAAAACAGCTTGTGCATGGGCACTTTGCCCTCCAGCTTCACCCCATAGAAATGGGCCAGGACTTTGCCTGCTGTCTGGCGGAGCAGTGGCAGTGTGAGCAGCAGCCTGCCTGCCCGCCTCCGCTCAGCACCCCCTCCAGGGCCAGCCCGGCCAGCTTCATACTCCAGCAGAGCCTCATGCAGGGCTTCCCGCAGCTGCTCCACAGCCTCAGCGTCTTCAATATGCACAGAGTCTGAGGAGAGAGGAGAATCGCTGGTTGAGGTAACTGTGGAAAGGGCAGGATTCACTTGTCTGGGCACTGCTGGACAGGGCACAATCCACTCACTGCTCTGCCTGTGAGCCAGGGCCACCCTTTCTCACCTGTGACCACCTCTTGTCCTCCACACCTTCCCCTCCACTACTTCCTTGTCAGCACAGCACTAGGGCTCAGAATCCTGTGTACAATTCAGGACCTTGGCTTACTTGGTGATTTTCAGTAATTAAGCCTCAATTGTCCTTATCTATAAAAAAGGACTGTGCCACCACCATTGACAATTCTAGGTCTTTATGGGGGACCTGTGTGTGCCTTCCGTAGATACTCACCAGAATTGGCAAGGGCCAGAGCCTTCAACAGTACATACTCCTCCCGCTCCAGCCGTAGGGCTTGCAGTCGCCGTACCAGCTGCAACAGGGCTGCTCCCAGATCCCCCAGACCAGCTGCCCGGGCTCCCTCTTCATCCAGGACCAGGTCCTCAGCAAATGCCAGCTCATCCTGCAGTGGTAGTGAACGCTGGGCCACACCTAGCACCAACACCTCCATCCACACACTCTGGAGTACTGACATCTGGTCAGACAGTGACAGTGAGGAGAAGCCTGGAGGGCGGCAGGAAAAGGACCGGTCAAGAATGCAGCAGTCAGAAGTGGCCTGCCTGCTCAGAGATGCCCTGACCACCAAACCCTTTACCTGGGATGCTCTTGGCCCAGCTGATGGTGACCACTATCTCTCGATCAAAAAGGTCGCAGAGTGTGGCCACAGCAGGGAGGTGTCCGTCAGGGCTGGCTGGATCAGGCATGGCATACAGCTTCTCAGGCTCAACCACCAGCAGATGAGACACCAGAGCATTCACTGGGGCTACAGTGACAGGTGCAGGACTAGAGTCATGAACACAGATCTAGCGGATCTCTGCAGCCCCTCAGAGCCAAGTGCCTCCCAGAATTCCCCTCCAGCCTTGCTTGAGAGCACTGGTAAACCTGAAATCACAGCGCACTTTCCCGGAGAAAGGTGAGCCCTTTTCCCGGGGCTTGGGTATAGCTTGCATACAGCCCTAGTCTTAACATTTAGAGGTCCTAGTTCCCCTGACAACTTTTTAAAAAAGAAACCCTGTGCTGATTTGTTTTTTGTCAACTATAGATAGATATAGATAGATAGATAGATAGATAGATAGATAGATAGATAGATAGATAGATAGATAGACAGACAGACAGACAGACAGACATATCTGGGAAGAGGAAATCTTAATCGAGATAATGCCTCTGTAAGATTGGCCCCTAGGCACGTCTGTAGGGTGTCTTCTTGGTTGAGGACTGATGTGGAAGAGCCCCATCTACTGAGGGTGGTCGTTCTTGGGCAGGTGGGCCTGAGTTATGTAACAAAGCAGGCTGAGCAAGACAAGAGGATTAAGCCAGTAAGCAGTGTTCTTCCGTGGCCTGTTTCAGCTCCTGCCTTGAGTTCCTACCCTGACTTCCCCAAGTGATGAAGTTTGGCCCCAGAGTTGTAAGATAAACCCTTTCCTCCCCAAGTTGTTTTTGGTCATGGTGTTTTGTCACTGCAATAGAACCCTTCCTACTTGGGCATCTGAACTGTGAAGTAGTTTATTATGTTTGAATGTAGCCACCTATGATCCCAAATTCCCAATCCTGGTTTGCCTCCTGAGTGCTGGGCTTAAAGTCGTGCAGTGCTAAGGACCAAACCCAGGGCTTCACGCATGCTAGACAAGCACTCTACTGCCTGAGCTACATCCTGGGTCCATGAAGATATTTTCATAATTATGTCTTGGGAAGAAATGAGAGGGGGGCTGGGGAGATGGCTCAGAGGTTAAGAGCATTGCCTGCTCCTCCAAAGGTCCTGAGTTCAATTCCCAGCAACCACATGGTGGCTCACAAACATCTGTAATGAAGTCTGGTGCCCTCTTCTGGCCTGCAGGCATACACATAGACAGAATATTGTATACATAATAAATAAATATTAAAAAAAAAGAAATGAGAGAAGGTAAGACCGGGCATGTAAAAAAATCAAACAGACCTCTCCAGTGGCTGTCCCCTGCCCAAAGCTTAGGAACCCAGGATCTCACCTGTCTTCCGGGGGCCTCCAGCTACTGCCAGAGGACCAGCAGGGAAGGGGCCTGGAAAGGGCAATGGGTCCACCTCTGGCCGTCGCTTGTACTTCTGTCGCCCACCTCGAACACGGTCCAGACGCACTCCTTGAATTGTAAGACCAGACTGTGTCCATAAAACAGCTGCCCCACAGAGCCCTACTCCCCTCACTTCCTCCCCAGGCTTCCACCCAACCACTGAAACACCCCCCACTCCGTCTCACCCAGGCACTGCCCAGCGCTCACCCTCCTTGAGCATGCCCACCCGCAGGCACTTGGTGAAGCGGCAAGCCTGACAAGCCTTGCGTCTCCGCTTGGTGATCTCACACTCATTGGAGGCCGGACAGCTGTACTCGATGCTCCCTGCCAGGAAGAGGCAGGGCTCCAGTGGCAGCCTCCCAGAGCCCAGTGGGGGCCCAGATGACAGGAGAGCCCTGACTCACCCCAGGCAAGCACCAGTCTGGGGGTATGGGGAGGAAAAGGAGAGCAGGATGCCATGAGCAGGGCAGGGAGGGGACAGCCACTGCACTGGGGGAACCCTGCTTGGATGAGGCCAGGCCCTGGAAGTCAAGCTGCATATTCGCCCTAAAACCATACTGCTGGCCTACACTGTCCTCATCTGCTGTTAAGGGCCACAGCAACCTCCAGGATAAATCCAAGGCTCCACTGAATCCTCGCCTCCCTTGCCTAAAGCATTGCTTTCTACTCCTAGAAATCCTCCAATACTATCTTCCTTTGCTTTTAGGATAGGCTCTCCTGGTCCTCCCACCCACTGGCAGCTCTATGGTTTCTGTATAGTGAACTGATCAGCCCCTGGGGCTGTCCTACCTCATTCTCCCTCCCTCCCAGACTTTCAGCTTGAACAGCAGGGCGCTCTAGACGGACAGCAGCTCTCCAATCCCCTACCTCTCCTGCCAAGTCTGCAACCACCTTCCACTGCTCCAGAAACCTAAGTAACATCTTCCCTTCCCTCAACAACAACCCAAGCCACTGGCAATGTGGGAGTGTCACCTTCTCACCCACCAGAACCCAGCTCCGCCTACAGCTTCCATCTTTGTCCTGTCACTATTGTGGCTCACTGGCCTCCTGCTGTCTCTATTCTCTACATAGCAGCCTGAGGGATCCTGCCCCTGTCCTCTGATCAAATTCCCCAGTCAGTTCTCTTAAGTATAAGCCTAGGTGAAGCAGTGTCCTACAGGTTCTCACAGCCTAGCTCCATCACTTATAATCCTGTTCTGTACTGCACGCTCCGCAGACAGAGCCAGCCTCAGGGCATTCTGTTCCCTGCCTGGGGCTCTATTCCTGGCAACCACATTTGCTCCCTTACCTCCTATCACCTTGGAGAGGCCTTTCCTGAGCACCCTGAGACAAATCCCTACGTCTGGCCTGCAGAATCCCTCAGGTCTTATCATCTGATACAGAACACGTGTGTTCAGTTATCCTGTGGCTTTCAGCTCTTGTTTTGCTTTTTTGAGATGGTGTCACACCACGGTCCAGCCTAGTCTTGAACTTGCAACAATCCTCCTGCCTCAGTCTCATGGGCATAAGCCACAGCATACCTGGTTGATTTGGTTTGAGATTTTGTGGGATTTGTGTGTCTCCATCAACAGCCCTCAACTTTGATTCTGACACAGGGTCTCACTGTGCAGTTCTTGTTAGCTTTAAATTCACTATATAGACAAGGCAGGCCTCAAACTCTGCCTCCTGAGCACTGGGTTAAAGCCGTGCCTAGTATGACTGACTTCTCCACCATATATATGGTTTTTTCAAGACAGGGTTTCTCTATCTAACAGTCCTAGCTGTCCTGGAATTAGTTCTGTAGACCAGGCCGGCCTCAAACTCAGAGATCTAGCTGCCTCTGCGTGCCAAGTGCTGGGATTAAAGGCCTGGTCACCATTGCCTGGCTTCACCTTATATTTTGAAACAAGGTCTCTCATTGAACTACATATCCCAAATCCTCCTGCCACTGTCTCTCAACATCTGACTTTCATGTGAGTACCAAGCATCTAACTCAGATACTCTTGCTTAGACAGCAAACACTTTACCAAATGTGCCATCTCCTCAGCTCCCACTTTTGAGCTTTTTTTTTTTAAAAAAAAAATTTATTTATTATGTATACAATATTCTGTGTGTATGTCTGCAGGCCAGACCTCATTACAGATGGTTGTGAGCCACCATGTGGTTGCTGGGAATTGAACTCAGAACCTTTGGAGGAGAAGGCAATGCTCTTAACCACTGAGCCATCTCTCCAGCCCCCACTTTTGAGCTTTTTTGAACAAAGTCAGATGTAGCCCAAGCTGGCCTCTTAACTCACTATGAAGTGGAGGATAACCTTGAACCTTGGTCCTACTGCCTCCTCTTCTAAATGCTAAAATCACAGGAATGTGCCACCACACCAGGGAAGAGACACTGTCTTGCTCTATAGCAAGATATGTACTCAATATGTGGCCCAGGTTGGCCTTGAACTCACAATCCTCAGGCCTCCTGAATGCTGGGATTAGATGAATGCCAGTGTGAACGCCTTAACCTGTCTGTTCACTCTCATCCCATCTACTGTCAGCCCTTTCCCAAGGCTAGTCACAAGGCCTGATGTGTAGTAGGTACCAGTGGCCCCTCAGCCTCACAGCTGCCCAAGGAACAAATCACACAAAGCAGCCAGCAGGCCTTTCATGCTTCTCTCCTCCTCTACCCAGCAGGGCTGCTATACTCAGTTGAAGATGCCTCCTCAGGGAAGCCCTTGGTCCTGGTCCTGACAGGTCCTTAGCAGACACCCTGCTCCTTGCTTTCCAGCACATGCTACAAAACAAAGAGGACAGTTCTGAAAATCAGGCTCCCCTGGCCACCCTCAGTCTCAGCCGTGTCTAGAACACAGGTGGTAAAGAGCAAGGGGCAGTCTGTGTGCTGCACACATGCCTGTATTCCAACACTTTGCAGGCAAAAGGTAGAGAATCTCTAGATGGAAGCCATCCTGCGCTATACAGCAAAACTCTGCTTAAAAATGAGAACTAAGCAAGGGATGTGGGGACTTATCATCTGTGGTTTGGTTTACTTATTTATATGCTTATTTTGAGACTGGGACTCTCTCTATAGGTCTGGCTGCCCTGGAACTCAGCTATGTAGATCAGGCCAGCCTGATCTACACTTTTCTTTCTTTTCTTTCTTTTTAGCTCTGGCTGTCCTAGAACTCCCTCTATAGACCAGGCTGGCCTTGAACTCACAGAGATCCGCCTGCCTCTGCCTCCCAAGGGCTGGGATTAAAGGTATGTGCTACCACTGCCCAACTGTACATTGTACTTCTTATTTCTAAAATTTGGGAGTCTTCAGTTTTCCTAACTGCAAAGTTAGAATGATTAAAAACAACGTATACTTGAGACTGGAGTGTAGCTCACTGGGGCAGTGCGTGCTCAGCATTCACAAGGCCCTGAATTCTCTCACTAGCAACCTCCCTCACCCCATCCCCTCAAAATCATACTACAAGAGGAAGGCTGGAAAAAAAAAATGAACGGAGCTGGGTATGATGGCATAGGCCTTTAATCCCAGCACTCAAAAGGCAGAGGCAGGCGGATCTCTGTGAGCCCCAGGTCAGCCTGATCTATAGAGTTCCTGTAAGGACAGCAAAAGCTATACAGTGAGACCCTATCTCCATTTTAAAAGAAAGAAAGAAAAAGAGAATGAATGAAGGTAATTATAGCAGTTAGGTCTGGCCCACAGTCAGAATGGAGGCATATGTCAGGCACCTGGCCCTGACCAGCAAGGAGCGGTATTAGGCCAGTGCACTTCAGCTAAGTCAAAACTAACTGGAAGCAGGCAAGTAGCACATTAATTCCTTCAGTCACAATATTCTGGAGGCAGAGGCAGGCAGATCTCTGTAAATGTAAGACTGGCCTGATCTATGGGGTGAGCGGCAGGTCAGCCAGGATTGCACAATGAAACCCTGTCTTAAAACAACAACAAAGCTCCACAACACACTTCACAGGAATGTCACTATCAGTGGTCCGAAGTCCAGTTACCAGTGGTACACAGAGGCAGCCGTCTAGCGTGTAAGAGCTCAGCTCTGGGCCTGCACCAATGCCAGGGCTGTCATTTTCTACTGGAGAGATCTGAGCAGCTACAAAGCCTCCCTGTGCTTTGGCTCTTAACCCTGACCGTTTCTCATGGGGTTGCACAAGGTGCTGAGATCCTGAAAGTAAAGGGACAGCACCTATCATCACAGGACAAGCACTCAAGAAAAAGTGTTCAAAAACCATTTGAGGGGTGGCAAGATAACTCAGTAGGTAGGTATGGGCACTTGATGCCAAACCTGATGACCCGAGTTCAATCCCCAGGTCCTAGATGGCAGAAGTCAAGAACTGACTCTCACAAGTTACCTCTGACCTCTGCACATATACAGTGGCTGTAAGTGTATACACACATGCACACACAAAATAAATACATACTGGGGCTGAAGAGATGGCTCAACGGTTAAGACCACTGGCTGCTCTTCCAGAGGACCCGGGGTTCAATTCCCAGCACCCACATGGCAGCTCACAACTGCCTGTAGCTTCAACTCCCTGGAAGCTGACACCTTTACACCAATGCACATAAAATAAAGTTAAAATAAATTATTTAAAAAAATAAACAAACAAATGAATACATACTAAGAATTTTTTTTTAATTACTTGCAGTGGGATTTGCCTATAACGACAGTACTCCTGGGAGGCCAAGGCAAAAGGATGGAGAGTTCTAGGCCAGCCTGGAACAGTAAGTTCCAGGCCAACTACATAACAAGATAATGTCTCAATGTTTGCTTTTTGAGACTGGGTTTCACTGTGTAATATACTGGCTGTCTGGAACTCACTTTGTAGACCAGGCTGGCCTTGAACTCACTGAGATCTGCCTGCCGCTGCCTCCCAAGGACTGGGATTAAAGCACCACCACTACTCAGCTAAAAAACATTTTTGTAAATTATATAGTACAGTGCCAAAATAACCAGTGGTGGCATAAACACGTAACAGGCCTGCCCCAGAGAATGTTCACAACAGTATCTCCATCGTGGCCTCAAATTCTGACATGCGCTTCTGGGTGAGAAAAAGCAGTGACAGAAGAGAGTGGAGTGCCTAACCTTTTTTCCTCTTGGTTTTTTTGGAAACAGGGTTTCTGTGTAGCTGTCCTGAAACTTGCCCTGTAGTCCAGGGTTGTCTTGAACTCATATACATACAAATCAGTTACCCTTAAAAGAAGGAATTCTGGGACGTCCTGGGGATAAGTAGAGACTACTAGAGGCAAAAAGAAAGCCAGGAGCACCAGGTGGTGGTGGTGCACGCCTTTAATCCCAGCACAGGGCAGATAGCTGTTCAAGGCCAGCCTAGTCCACAAACACTTTCCGGGACAGCCAGGGTGGCAACACAGAGAATCTGATTGGGGTTAGGGGGCAGGAGCAAAATTCTATGACAGGTACAGACACCTGTGTCCTGGCTTATACCCATTCCAATCCAATGACCTATGCTAGTGGCTTTTCTTTCCTTTTTCTTTTCACATAGTCCTAGTTGGCCTTCAACTTATTAGTAGTTAATGATGACCTTGAATTTCTGATTCTCCTAGTTCCACCTCCAAAGTTCTGAGATTCTAGGTATGCAACACCACACCTGGTTGTGTAGGGCTGCACAGAACCTAGAGCCTCCTGCAAGCCAGGCACGGGCTCCACTAACTCAGCGGCCGTCCTCAGCCAACAGCCTCTTAAAACAACAAACAGACAAACAAAAACAAAAACAACTTCCCTGGGAAGTACAAGGAAATTCAAACTCTAGACTGCCAACCCTGAGCAGCACCAGACAGGCTCAGGGCCTCCTGCATGCTTCTCTATACCAGCACTGTTGAAAGATTCCAGGTCCAAAGGCTACTAGACAAAGGGCACAGAAGCAGAGGATGAGGGGTAGGGGCTCACCCTGGATGGTCCTCTTGAAGAAGGCTTTGCAGGCCTCACACGATGCCACACCATAGTGGTAGCCGGAGGCCACATCCCCACAGACCAGGCAGAGGCGTTTGGGCAGAGAGCTGAGCACTAGCTTCCCACTGCCCTGCTCACCAGACCCGGTACCCTCCCCATCCTCCTCCTCCTTGTGCCCTGGAAGGCAGCGGGCTGGAGCTGGTCCCGGGGCCAGGGTCACAGGGGGTTCAGTCTCAGTCTCTGAGGAACCCTTTGGACTGTCAGGGCTGGCTGGCTCTGCCTTGATGTAGAGAGGCTCGATGCCCACCACCTGGCTGGACATGATGCTGGTCACCTGCAGGGAAAGACCATCAGGGTCACAGACAGGCACTCTGCCACATGGGTTGGGCAACACTGGGCCTAGGCCAAGCTTCCAGGCTCAGTCAAGGAGAGAGAGGAGGCAGAGTTCAAGGAAGGGCTGCCCATGAAGAGGGCCCCCAGCTGTCACCATGGGAACAGAGTCTCCAGAGCCTCTGGGGCCAGTTAACTGACAGCAGGTCCTCCTCTTGGGAACCAGGGAGAGGTTTGGCAAGTCTAGCTCCCACCCAAGCCAGGAAGCAGGCTAATCTCAACCTGCAGGCAACTCTCAACCCCCAAACGTAATACCTCTCCCGAGTTTTCTCCAGATGCTGGGAGGGCTCCATTTAGGTACTGAGTATTCAAGAGCACACTTAGGAACACGGCGGAGGGGAGGGGGTGTTTAGCCACTCTCTCAGGAGTTTCCACCTGTCCACACATGCTCACTCTCTCCTGAGGATCTTCACACTCACACATGGCCTTTAACCAGTTCCAGTTTTCACACACTCCCAGTAAAAGGGCACACTCAATAAGCAAACTCACACTCAAGTCTTATGATCACACTCTCTCTCCAGACCCTTGTAAGAGAACCTCTCACCTCTGACACACCACCCCCTCTTGCCTTAGCAAGCCCAGTACAGCCACGCCGTGTAGGGCACGGCTCCACCTCTTTTGCACCCCAGGCCTGCACGGTGCATTCTTACACTCCAGCAGCCGCAGAGTCCACCACCTCCTGCGACCTCCCGGGGCGCCCCCCCACCCCGGCGCCTCAACCTGCACACACCTCTGGGAAGTTGCCTGAAGTTACTTGTGTCCCCCCCTCCCCCACTACCCGCGGGGGACTTCTATCAGGTTATCAGGAAGTAAGAAGAGGCGACAAGGAAGAAGTTCTCCCCCGCGCAGCGATGACCTATGACCCAGGGAGGAAGGTAGCCCAAAGCCCCTGCAAGCGCCCCCACGTGGCCTCCAGGGCCCCTTTCAACCCTAGCCCACCCCGAGGGTTCCTGCAAAGCTCAAGGGTCGAGCTCAACGCTGCCCGGAGGCTCTCTCCGAGGTCCAAGAATAACCCGGGGCCAAGACCCGTCCTGACCCGGCAGCCGCACTGGGCGCGACCCCGCCCG